TAATCATTGTTTATTATTATTTATCCGTTGTGCTTGGATTCCTTTTATATCCTCTTTGATATGGTGTGCATGGGGGAAGGATAAACTATACCCTTTTTCTTTTCATTCAGCTTTCTGGATCCAATGTCACTAAGCCATAGAGAATCTCCTCCTTAACATCTCGAATGCTTGCTTACTCTCACTACTTCTACGTGGGTAAAGCCCTTCACTGGATCTCACTTGGATTCTTGCAACTAACTCCTAAAATTAGTGTTACCAACAATCAATCAAAAGATAGTATCTACATAAAAATAACATAACCTCCGATTCTTCTCTTTAAGGAGCATAGAAAATAGTTATAGAAACTAAACTAAACGATCTTCCTATAAAATAACTCAACAATTAAGAGAGCATTCCACACAAGTTGTAATCATCCCATACATTAACATGCTGTTTGTATCATGTAGGCAACCAAATCAGAAATTCAAGTTATATTACAAATGGCAACTTATTTTTGCTGTATTACCAATATTTTAAAGTAGGTTTGTAAGAAGTATTTTTGGCCTGAATTACCTTGATACTATTATGGCTCAATTTTTCTTTGTTTTATCCCTTACTTATTCTACCTTTCCTCAATACTTGATTCCCAGTAGCCCACACAACTTTTATCTTTTCCCACTGATCACATTACTACCAATATCTATATACTAGTATACAGATATACTACCAATATCTAATTTATTTGTTCTTTGTAGACAAAATGTAACTGATGCTTCTTTAGGGTCACAGTTAGCTGATGTCACTCAAGGTAAAACTGAATACTTTTAGTCCCATTCCATTTTCTCTTCAGAGTAAATCCAAATCATGCTTCAGGCGATTTTTTTAAAAGACTGACCCAGAGTAGACTGAGCTTGAGTGTCCTCCCACAGTTATGTCCAAAAACTAGTCTTCTATCAGCTGCTGAAGGTCAGCTTAGGCTGCCTGGAGGCTCAGGAGCCCAGCATGGAACAATGGCAGGGAAAGAGCGTTCCCTTCATTCCTTAATTCACATGCAAGTGAGGTGCCAATCAAGTGCTGACAAGCATGGAAAAACCAAAATCAAAAGTGGGTAGAGATACACTTTCAAAAGGAGCAGTTTTCACACATTTTAAGTGATGTTTTTAGTGGTGGTTGTGAACATATCACTAATAATATGGAAAAGGAAATAAAAGCCATAAGAAAAATAATAATAATTTTATATCGGCTAAGATGATTCAATAAACTAATGAAATACATCTGCTAAAATTGTTTAATGTGTTTCATAAAAAAATGTATCAACACTCTCACTTTGGCTAAAGAAAGAAATCTGAATGCAAATTGATTTATTGAGCACTGCAAACATGGACGGTAAGGTGAGCTGAGACTGGAAACTGAGCATTGAGACAAGTAAAGCTAACTTATTTCCAAATAAAAGAAAATTTTAAGGTTGCTTGATTTTGTCAAACTATCAGCTAGAAAGACAAGAGCAAAGCACTTTGAAATGACCAACAATGTAAGCAATGGAATCACTTCATCAAAGTGGCTAGTGAAAGAGATGATGAAAAGCTTAAAACTGTATTGTTTTTAATGACAGTTAATTTTCAAAAATGAGTTTGAATTTTAACAATATAAGGCAAAAGTAAGCTTCATTATTTGTAGATGTCTTTCTGAATGAATTTGGTAAATGCGTTTTAGTTATGACTACTAATTCTATCATATATAACACAGAATTTCTAAAAACAGGAATTTAAGACTTTGTAAATGAAGGTTTAATAACTGTAACTTTGTATATTGGAACTACTTCAATACACAGAAAAGATAACATTGGACAGATACATTACTTTTTAAAATTCATTGCCAACGCATAAAATAGATAGTTCTTCCTGTCTTCCCTTTGTCTTTAATGAGTGAATGCTGGAATTGCTACCAGAGCTGTCTTAACGTCTATTTTTACAAGGATCACAGAAAGTTTAGAGAATTAGAAATTTGGGTTGTTACCATATGTCATTATAAATGCAGTGAAAAGGATATTTTTAGTATCACTTTTCTCATTATTTTAGTAAACTGTATACTGTTTTTATGAAGTTAGGTCTAATCAAGTTCCAGGATTTACTACCATAAAATGAGCATTGGTTTTGAAAAGAAACCTCTTAATTATAATGTATTTTTCAGGAGAAACTTAACAATTTAAAATAGGGTATAATCATAAATGTTCTCAGTTTTCAAAACAACAATTAGGAAAATATGAAAGTCCTACAAATATTTTGTGCTCTAAATGTAAAACTAATTTATTTTCAGATATCTATTAGCAGCACATTTAATTTTAACAGTTATTCACAATTTTACTTTAATTAAATGGCAAGATACATTTTATAATATGATAATATGAGAGTGGTACAAAAACAAACTCCATGCATTCAAACATGATACTACAAACTAGGACTGCTCCAAAAAGAAGGGGGATGGAAGAGAGAGCGATTGCAAGAGAGAGGGAGGGAGTGCATAGACAGCCTTTAAGCAGGAGTAAAATTTTATGACAATTCAAAAAAAGTCAAAATTTACTGAAAGGATTTAATGTACATTGAGACAAAATTCTAAAACATAATTTAAGATGTTCACAATTCACTTTTCTGTAAAGTTAATATTAAAATTTGAATCCATGAAAAACAATTTTATACATTACACTAATTTTGAAAAATCCCAAGAGAATAAATATTTGTCAACATTTTAAACACCATGACTTTTCCCCCAAGAATATCAGGGAAAATAGGAAAGAATATTATTCAGCTTTCGGAAAAAAGCAAAGGCTTAAAAATATTTCAATGGTTTTGTTGTTTCTTTAACTATGCTATCTTTTAAAAATCTTTTTGAAATTAAGTAGAAACATAATGGCCTTAAATGTATTAATCAAGCTTTGTCAAAAATTTATGTATAACTCATTAGTGGTTTTAGTTATTGTTATTGTTATTTGCTTAGAGGAATCTGTTTTATTAGGTCAGGAACCACTTTTTCTTCAGTTGCCACCATGTGTATGCCCCTAATAACATACCCCCATTAAAGTTACTTCACAAAAAGTAGCAAATATTATGAAGTTGAGATAATCGCCACTAATATTTTAAAACCTAAACAAGGTACATTACATTAAATAGACTTCTCAGTCCTGGTGTTGCCTGACAGATATGTGATGTGCCAGTGGTTATATTATATTCCTCCTCCCATGCATGCACCTCCTGCAGAGATAGCAGACTACAGAAGCTGACCCTTACTGAGACCATCTTGTCTCTCTGACAAAGCTCCTTTTTAACTTCTTACTTACTGGTTACTTCCTGTGATGGAGAAAAACTTTAGCTCAGCTTGTGATAATTTCACAGGCCCTGAGGACCCTGACCCTAATAGCCTCAAGGTCAGAAGTCAAGTCTTGTTCTGAAACATCTGTGTGCTTTATATTAAAGTGGAACAAAAGTGGAGAAATATCCACCAGTGTGTGACAAGAAGGACAGGCAAAATAGGACTGACACACTGGTCATCTGTTACTCTGTCATCTTAAGTTCATTTTAAAAACTATCCAATATTCACTTAAATTCCAAATTTGATGTACAAAAGGCTTTTATAAACTGTCTTAAAGTAAAAAAAAAGGGGGGGGGAATTTACGTTTAACAGTAATCTGGAATTTGGGTAGTCTTGCAGGCTTTCAGAAATATTTTAAGTTACTCTACAAGCTGATGAAATTTCAAGGTTTAAGTAATTTAATGGCTGACAAAGAAAATGTAAGGTACATTATATATGCTATGTGTGTATGTGTGTGTGTATATAAAGATCTATATCTGTAGGGGCTAGAAGAACTACCTGAAAGACAACATTCACATACTAGTATGTTAAAGAGCTATCTTAAAATATCTATTATATATTAAAATAAATGCAGCAGAATTAAAAGTACTTAAAAATAATTTCTAAAAGTAAAATCCATTTAGTAAAAGATTTAACTTATATATCAATCTTAAGAGAACATAAACATTTGTGAATTTAGGTCAGCTAAAATATTCCCAGGTGTCACCACCAGTTTTATATCTAAATCATGTGGGTGAGCAATAAGGTATGAGGAGGTTGAAAAGGCCATGGAAATATATTTAATTTCCACAACAAAGAGAAACGCACACCAAAGTTTTGAAACAAAAGCTAGACAACAACGTTGTGCCTGCTTTTAATGTTCATGTTAGGCTATTTGGATTTAAAATTATCAAATGCACTTTTATCAAATTAATCACTTTATTATAGCACTGTTACCTCCTTGTAACATAAGGTTTATGGACATGTAGGCATAAATTCTTCATTAGTGCATTTTTGGTATTGATTATATCCCATTAACCATTCATACTGGCACAAGGTGTGGTACTTGTAACACTGCATATGATACAGACAAAATTTTAAAATCTTGATAATTTTTTCTATAATGTACACAATCTTAACTCCAAGAATCAGATTTTTTGAAATGTAAAGATTTTTACAGCCAAACAATGAATTCCACTTAGCAGATTAACGGAAATCTTCTGATAGTTTAAATACTAATTACATGAATTCTTATCAAGTATTAAGTACTGACTTGTGGATATAAAAGTTAGTTAAAGATAAACGAAAGAGTCTCCAATATTCAATAGGTCTCTTGAAATTTTAAACATTTTACAGATAACACATGCTTCAATAGTTGTACATATAACACAGGAAGCAGAATTATCATCAAATGTATGAAAATGCTCTATACTGTAGAAATTAAGAAGTAATGTGTAAATAAAGAATAGGCAAAAAGCTTTCTGGTTAGCAGTGAAAAGCTCTGCCACAATAAAATAAATACACACTTCTTAAGCATTATAAAATTATTTACTCACAATATTTTGTTTTCATCCTTTTTAAAGTAATTTAAGTAATGATATCAATTAAAAGTGAGTGGGGGAGGATAAGCCTGTAAAGAGTTTGGGAATTAAAAACAGAGTTAAATGTACACTCACCAGTTCAACGAAAGCAAGTCCTCCATAGCTGTGAGCAACAAAAAACACATTCTCAGCTGCAGACTGGGCTATGAAATGGTCCCACACATAGATTGCATGTTCTTCAGGAGAACCATTTTCCTAGAAAGAAAACAAATATCATATATTATGTACTGTATCTAATTATTATCATAGTAATCAAAAATTAAATTATATGCTTGCTTACATAGCCTAAGAAATAAGATAGTTATAGCTCACTGAAAATAATACCAATGCAAAAGAACTGCCACTGAAAATTCAAATTAGAGAATAAATTATTCAAGTATTAGTAAATTACTGCTAAGCTTAATTGCTACCATAATCTTCAGAAACAAAATATTCAAAATATTGCATCCTGGTATATCCGAGATATTAAAATATACATGTATGTACTTGAGAATTGTATAGCAGAAAGTTACAGTGGTCTTATGATAGAAGAGTGTAACACTAAAAAATTCAGTTACATTTCTATATTTACATCTGAGAATATTTCTATTATAAGAAATATAAATCTGAATTATTTGATTTTATAAAATTTGAAGTATCTATAAGCTGAAAGCAAAAAATTACTAACAAATACTCTCTATTTAAATTATTTAAAAATATACTTTTTTGTAAAAGTGTTTTCCATACACATTTTATTTCTAGAACTGGGAGAAATCTAAACATATAAACCCTGTATTTCTCCTAACCTCCTAAATCCTAATAAATGTATGTATGTTGCTTTAATTCCAAAGGTTCTATAATAATTTCATTTTGTTGGGGCGCCTGGGTGGCTCAGTCGTTAAGCGTCTGCCTTTGGCTCAGGTCATGATCCCAGGGTCCTGGGATCGAGCCCCACAT